CATCAGGCCATCAGGCCACCCGGGCCGGGAGAGCGAGGCGCGGCGAGGCGGCACCACGCAGACGGCTGCAGCGCGGCCTCCACGCGGCGCCCCGCCGTGATTCGACGAAACCAGCGGCAAACAATTTTGCGCAGAGAGGATTCGAGGAAAAGGGGAGGGGGGAGGGCATCTCCACGGGCGGCACTGTACGCGCTGCCGTGGAAAACGGAGAAGAGGCAGGGGGAGGGGAGGGGGATCGTGAAATTTACGGCAGTGTAGTGGCCGTGTGGCGGTGGTGGATATGTATCGGCACACCTGCGGGCCTGCGGGCTTGCGGCCGGCCACGCTGGGCTAGGGCAAGGCTGGGCCACTGCCGGGGCGTAAAGCTTTGAATTCTGGACACGCCCCGCATGCCGTGCAGTCACGGGATTGCGGAAATCCTCCTCTCTGGGCCTCAGGCTGGCCTTTCCTCCCCCCCCCCCCCTTTTACAGTGTGTCCCCGATATCAATCAGCCCGGTAAGTGGCGCCGTGAACCGGGGCTGGGATGGTTTCGCGCCCGAATGCCTATACTCCTCGCTTGCTGTGAGTGCCGTGCCTAGGGGCGCGGCCTCGGCCTCCGCGACGAGCCGAACCGGAAGACTACTTGCCCGCATCTGAGTCTCCCCCCCTCCGGCCGGACCTCTCTCTCTCCTCTCTCTCTCTCTCTCTCTCTCTCTCTCTCTCTCTCTCTCTCTCTCTCTCTCTCTCTCTCTCTCTCTCTCTCTCTCTCGCTCTCGCTCTCGCACACTGGACAACACTGTGAACCGCAATGGACACTGGCCGGTGACACTTTATTCTGAGAATGACAATGATGGCCTGCTTTCGTTTATTGGCATGTGCACAGCGCACGCCCGGAGAGTCGCCGTTGTTCGCAGGCGTGCTTTGCTCGCTGTCACCGGACCTGACATTGACACGCGTTGTCCACACACGACATTCGAAGTGCAGTCCGTGTTCGTTGCGTGCTGGAACGCGAAACCTGCTCCAGGTTGCACGGTAGAAACGGTTCCTGGTTTTCCCAGGAACTCCCTGGAAATCGCCTATGTTCCTGGGAAAACCAGGTACCGTTTTTACCGTGTTGGCCTGGGAGTTTTTCCTTTTTTGCCAAATTTCAGAAAGAATTACCCATGGTTCCGGCCCCGAACAAGCACGGGGTGAACCGGGTTTTGCCCGAACAAGCACGGAACACCCGGAGCATGCCCTGCGTTCCAGCCTGTTCCGGGCAAGCTCCGGCCCCTGGCTGCGGGCCACGCGTCGCGTCGGCGGCGCGGAGCGCGTGGAGCGCCTGCGGAGGGCGGGGTAGGCCAGCCGCCGCACTGCCGCGCGCGCCGGCACAGGCTACGCTCGCTTCGTAAGGCGCTCCACGCTCCAGCCATGCCTCATCCACACGTGGAGATTTAGAGTGTAGAGTCGGGCGGCCTGCATTGCTGTTGTGGCAACTTCACCGGATGAATGCGTTTTGTTGCGGAGCCGCGGTGCGGGGTGGCCGGGCCAGCGGAGAGAACTCCACACGCACCTCGCTGGCTGGCTCCACTGTGAAGTCGCTCGACGCACGGCCTTCGCGGCGCCCACTAAATGTTTTTGTACAAATTTTGTACGAAAGATCACAGCCTTTTGTGCACACGAATGTTTCGTACAAATTTGTGCAAAATTTTGTACAAATTTGTACAAAAATTCTTACAATTTTGTACAAAATGGCGAGAAATGGTTCCTCGCCCAATTTTGGGTGAGGAAGGGTGTATCAGCTCCCTATCTAGCTCCATAGTATTATGACCCAAATTTGGGTGAGGAAACTTTCCTCACTCAAATTTGGGCGAGGAAAATTTCCTCACCCAAATTTGGGTAATAAAGAACTCCTCACCCAAAATTTTAGTCATGATCATGACTCTTTCATTCTCAGTGATAACGGGGCGTTCCGTACAGTGTGATAGAGATGAGGCGATGAGATCCACTTTCGGAGTTAGTTTGCCGGCGGAGACCGCTCGGCCTCTTCACCACCCAGCCACTTACCCAGTCGCGGCTGTCGCGCCCTCTTGCAACTTTGAAAAGTGTCAGGCAGCTGCTTCGGGGAGTTGCTTCGGCCGACAAGCCAAGGGCGTCCAGGTGGGTTTGGATCCCTGTTAAACCGTCCTGTGGAAACGAAGCGCCCTTACAGTGGGCAGGCTGTAGCGGCGCCTGAGTGCAATCGGGCTCAGAGAGAGGACTTGAAAATATCTGGCGCGTCGTGGGTGCGAGCGTGGCGGGCGGCGGGGTATCCTTTTTGCCGCCGCGCATTTGTAGCCGCGTCACGTCCCTGCATTCGGCTCCACGGCGACGGGCGGGGCGGGGCGGCAGTACAGCACTGGGTGTTTGACATGCGGACGTCGGAAAGCCGCTTAGGGACTCTAGCTTATCTTATTGTTGGTTGATTCTTGACCAATTTCAATCTAACTGCAGCAAGGCAGCATTTGCACTGTTGGAAAAAAAGATTACAGTAACACGCCAACATTAACAACGTTGTAGTTCATACGCCGTCTCTCGTGTTCTCTGGTGTGTGGATAGTAATAAACGAATTTGTTGCTGATTTTAAGCGACTTAAGCTGTTTTAAAACAACAAATTATTGTTTATTGCCAACCCCGGTCAACCTGACCGTAAGAAGTGACAACTGCGGCGTACCGATAGTCTGTGAGGCCCGGGACTTTATCAGCCATCAAAATTGCGATCAACTTACCTCATCAATTAACGACTTGAATCATTTAAAAACGAATTTGCATTCGAATCACAACACTAATTATTTTACCACGAGGAGCTCCCCCCCCCCTTTTCCGGTGCGCTGCCGCTCCTGCCGTTTACACTGTGGCAAAAAGCTACGGAAAATTCTGTAAACAGCTTGTGGTAATTCTCCGTAGGCCCCTTATCAATATTCTCCGTAGGCTCTTACATTATTTTCTGTAGGACCGCACAGTATTCTCCGTAGGACCGCACAGTGATCTCCGTAGGACGATACAGTCTTCGAGGTCCTACGGAGAAGACTGTGCGGATTTACAGAGAATACTGTGCGGCCCTACGGAGAATACTGTAAGAGCCTACGGAGAATATTGATAAGAGGGCTACGGAGAATCCTGGCAGAAAAATTAACAGGATTTTCCGTACCTTTTTGCCACAGTGTAGCGCCGGTTGACGCTGCACAATGGGGCTCCCGTGGGGCAATCCCCCCCCCCCCCCCCACGCTCTCCCGGCCCCAAACTCATCAGCGAGTTGACAACTCGAAACAAACGTGGCGGAGGGAAGCGGCGGCAGAGCAGCGGTGATTTGCAATGAGTGGCGAACGGGTCGAGCAAAAATGAACCCAACTCCACTGTTCTGTTTTCCCCTCTGGGGGAGATGCGCCGGGCACTGTTCGCTGTCAGCAGACGGAGTGATCTGAAGCGTGGTGGGGCGAAGCGAGGCGGGCGGAGTGAAGCGAGGCGAGGCGGGACGAGGCGGGACGAGGCGGGACGAGGCGGGGCGGGGCGAGGCGGGGCGGGACGAGGCGGGGCGGGGCGGGGTGGGGCGGGGCGCACGGTAACACCGAGACATGCGATTTCTCCAGACCTTCCAGGTGACAAGAATCGGAGGCATTGCTTGACTTTTTTTCTCAAGAGAGGTCTGGAGAAATGAGATGGGCAACCCAGGTCTAAAAATCTCGTATGATCATACGGGATTTGAAAATTCGTTAAGGGATTCCCGTACTACCATACGAGATCCCGAGCCGTACAGGATCCTGAGATGGACGGGATCCCGTGAGGACACACGGGATCCTTTAACGAATTTTCAAAATCCCGTATGCTGGGACAGGATCCTGTACGCCAGGACGGGATCTCGTAGGCCGGGAAGGGATCCTTTACCCACTAAAAGGATCCTGTAAAGTACAGATAAAGACGTAAAAATGCAAGTTCTTCTGCAGATAGAATCAAAAGAGTGAATCATCTAGGGGGTGGAAACCGAGATCTATCCAAATCTGCAGTAAAAATTTGAAAAACTCCAGGGGTTCTCGAGATAGCAGAAAAAAGTTGTTAGTTTTCAATAAAATTAAAATGGCACTAGTAAATTTTTAGCGAAATACCCATATAAAATTTGAGTTTAAAAATTTTAAAAAACTTTCCGAGTTACAGCATACCTAAATTTGAAATCCCGTGCGTACTTCCCGGGATCTGGGCCCGCAAAAGGGGATCCCGCAAGACCATCACGGGACCCCGTTGGCTCTTCCGGGATCTCGGCAGAGTGTTGGATCCCGTACGCCCCTTCGGGACCCCGGGCTACAAGGGGATCCCTTATGACCCCCCAGGATCTTGCGTGACCTATACCGGATCCCGTAAGGTCTTAAGGGATCCTGTGCGACCCTCCCGGATCTCGGGTGTTCTTACGGGATCCCGCAAAACCATACGAGATCTCGTAAAACTAGACAGGATCCTGCAAAATAATAGGGGATCCCGTAAACCACAAAAATTTTTAGACCGGGGAACCGGGGTCTTGCCAATGGGCGAGCCGCAGTCGGGGTTTGTTTGCCGCTGAGCGCTCGAAAAAAACGCAAGCCCGCGTCTCCCGGGCCCACGCCCGGCCCACTCCGTGAGGCGCGCGCCGGAGGATTAGCATGCTCCCCCCACCACTTCTGCCAGTGCGGCCTGGGGAAAAGTCAAGTCTCCGCTGGGCCCATCGTCAGCAGCTCGGTCGCCTTTCTTCTTGCCCGTTCTCGCTGTTCGGCGATCGGTCGATGTGGATTTTGCATACGCACTTTTGCCTATTCTCATACTCTCTCTGACTTATCTGCAATGCTTTCTCGCCATTTGGAGGTTGGTCGCTCTCTTTTCTGCATTCGTATTTTGCCGTTCTAGCGGCCGTGGCGGGGTTTTTAGCAAAGAAATGGGTCGAGATTGAAATGTACATTTATTGATGTATTTAACACAGTAATTAAATTCATCAGTTAAAAAAAAACTTGGCAGAAAGTTCAAATTTTAAAAGTGTACTGTAGTTTAAACTAAACACAAAGTTTTTTCACATTTCGCTGAAATAGTTCATGCAGAATGTTGGTTGATATTGACATCTCTACACCACTGGTCTGAAATGAGGAAAATAAAAGATAAAATAAAATAAATGCATGTTATGTAAGTAATGATAACATGGGGGGAGAATCTACCTACTTTTTGTTTAAATATTCCATAAAATAGTTGTTGTGATGAAGTGGACTGTGGACATGTCCTGATCAAAACAAAACAAAATTTGTTTTCAGTGGCTGCTGCGGGAAACATGAAGTTATAAATGTGGTGATCCATAACTACATATTACTCCATTTCTTGATAAGTTGTCTGGAATGAGGAAAATAAAAGAAAAACAATCAATAAATTAATAAATTAAATTGTTATGAAAAAATAAAGAGGAGAGTACTCACATTTTTAAAAATAGTCCATAAAAGAAGATGCAGTGATGATTTGGACTCTATCGACAATGTCGAGATCAGAACAAAACAAAAATAGTGTTCAGTGACTGCTTCGGGCAACTCAAAACCAAAATGTGGTGTCCAGAATCATAAACGAGGGCCACATATTGCTCCATCTCCAAATTTCTTGTCTGAAATGAGGAGATTAAAAGAAAAACAATCAGATAAGTCATAATTTAAATAAGATAGGGTGAAACAAGAGATGGGCTACTTACATTTATCTAAAATTGTAAACAAAAGGAGATGTAATGAAGTTAGTGACTCCGTCAATAACTGGAAGTCCAGAACAACATATTTTTTTTTCTTGAGCTGTTGCCGCCCCCTTCAAACAACAGTGGGGTTCTCAATTATAATCGAATTATCATTTTCTGCCGCCTCTTCAATGTAACCCTAGAATTTAGTAAAAAAAATTAAAAACAAATCAAGAAACAGTATGAAGAGTTCTTCAAAAATAAGTGGAAAAGCGGATTACTTACATTGTAAAAAAAGAGTAACGACATAAATTATGAGAAGCTCTGGATGGGCCGGCTTTTAAACCCAAAATTAAGGCAGATATCAAACATAGCAGTTGTCAGCCAAGACTTTCGGGGTGCTAGAACAAAAGAAAAAAATTAGTATCGAAGAGAAGAGGTATTATCATACTAAAAAAATAAGGCTTAGAAAATAGGGGGGAAAAGACCAGCTAGAGTGTGTTAATTTTTCAAGAAAACCAATGACTTTGATAAGAGAAATACTTTTAGGGCAATTTTATTTGTTTGAAAGAAATTAGAATTTGTAGAAATAGAACAAACATAGCAACAACAGTCGATGAGGATTAAAAAATACTGAAATAAAATTTCTTTTGGACTTATGGCTGGAGAGGTTATGTTTCCTTTGGAGCAGATAACAACCATTCTTTCACTTCAAGCCAATCAGAAACTAAACCGAAAGCTTTTAAAATTTCACAGTCTGTTTGCTACAAAATTTAAAAAAAAGAACACTTCACGGTAACATGTAAATAATTTTTCATGAAACTAAAGAAAGGACCCGGCGAGAGTAGGCGACGAGACAGCCAACGCGGATAACGTTTGTCAATGTTTCCAATTTTAAAAATGTATTTTAAACAAATATTAAAACAAAAAATAAATCAAATGCACATTACTTACCTTCTCATTCCTCCAAAACAACCATCTTAAATTGGGATTGAATACCGTGCTGGTCCGATCGTCCCACAAGAGATGCCACAGGCTAGGCCACCGTAAGGGAGCAGGGGGGAGGGGGAGGGGGGGAGACGAAGCCTACGGGGAACTGGGGAAAGGGGGGCGGAGGGGAGGGGGGGAGTGAGCAGTGACGTAGCAGCCCGCCGGGGCCCCGCCCCGCCGAGCCGCACCTGGGCGAACGCCATCCGGAGACTTGACTTTTCGCATGACCCCCGAATCCCAGCGCTCTCTTGACTTTCGATCTTGCGTTTTCCCCAATGCTGTGGGAAGCTGCTAGTTGGCAAGTCTCGCTTGACAAAAAAGCAATGGCTCGGCGGATTCGCAAGATGTCGCTGGAGAAAAATTTTCAAGTCTACACTTGCCCACAGAGAATCGCATGTCGCGATGTTACCGGGGGGGGCGAGGCGGGGCGGGGCGGGGTGGGGGGGGGCGGGGCGGGGCGAGGCGTTCGCTGCTCGAAGCGCGCCTCAACATCAACAAGTGACGCGGGCCGAGACGGGGCGGTGGGCGGTGACTGTGTTCTTGGTCGGGGCGACGCTACGTGCCTGCGGCGAGTTGGAGCTCGGAGGTGGCAGGTGGCAGAAGTGCTACAAACACGGCGAAACTTTGCTCTAGCACTCTGCTTGCCGTCGGCAATTCAGTCACTCTATTAGATTTTTAAAGGCGATTTTGGTGATGTCGTGCGTCACCGGGTCGCGTTCGTCACATCCTGTCCTGGAGGTCAAATGCGTGCTGTCTGGACTAAGCCCCGGGCCGGCCGAAGGGGTGCTAAAGCTTTCGCTCGAGGGGCCGCACGGCGTGCGTGGAAAGCGATTCTGTCCGGGGATCCTTAACTTACCTCACAAGGGCATTATAACGTTATCATAAGAGTTAATGTTATTGAGCAAAATCAACTAAGACGGACCACTTCTTCCGGTGACCCTCTCCGATTTGCCTGATTTTTTGTAGGCTTAATAACGAACTTAAGGAGAGTCTAAAGCCAAAATATTAGGTCCGGCAAAAATTTATTGCCTGAGATATGGCCAACTTTAGTTTAACTTTTGGAGAAAAAACACGAATTTGGGTATTTTGGACTAATTTTACACTTTTCACAGTAGAGGGCTAAAATTTGGTCACTTTACGTAAAATTGGCCAAGGAACAAGAATATGACCTCAGATTTGACCTCTGACGAATACCGGAAGAGTAAACCCCCCAAAACAACCTAAAAACACATAAAAAAACAGTTTTTTCTTGGGGTTTCTGGGAAAAATATGTGGACAAATTTTTTTGATGATCTTATCTTGTAGAAAATGGCGCGATGAATCGAATGAGACCACGCGCAGATTTTTATGTCAAACCGTTTAAGAGATATGGCGGTTCAAAGTATGAAAATTTTGCCATTAATTTTTAAAAAAATGTAGGTTTGGAGCATTGTTTGACGGTTTTTGCCTCCTTGGTGTGTGTGGGTATTCTTATCTTGAGGTAAAAGACGCGCTGAATCGAATGAGACCACGCACAGACCTGTATCTCAAACCGTTCAGGAGATATAGCGGTTCAAAGTATGGGCACTGTAGTCCGCCTGCCAAACAGACGTGTTTGGCGGGCCTGCCTTGTCGGGTGTTTCAGGAGCTCTCCCGTGCCCATACTTCAAACCACTATATCTCCTAAACGGTTCGAGATACAACTCTGTGCGTGGTCTCATTCGATTCAGCGCGTCTTTTTCCACAAGATAAGAACACCCACACTCACCAAGGAGGCAAAAACCGTCAAACAATGCTCCAAACCTACATTTTTTTAAAAATTAATGGCAAAATTTTCATACTTTGAACCGCTATATCTCCTAAACGGTTTGACATAAAAATCTGCGCGTGGTCTCATTCGATCCATCGCGTCATTTTCTACAAGATGAGATCACCAAAAAATTTTGTCCACATATTTTTCCCAGAAACCCCAAGAAAAAACTGTTTTTTTATGTGTTTTTAGGGTGTTTTGGGGGGTTTACTCTTCAGGTATTCGTCGGAGGTCAAATCTGAGGTCATATTCTTGTTCCTTGGCCAATTTTACATAAAGTGACCAAATTTTAGCCCTCTACTGTGAAAATTGTAAAATTAGTCCAAAATACCCAAATTCGTGTTTTTTCTCCAAAAGTTAAACTAAAGTTGGCCATATCTCGGGCAATAAATTTTTGCCGGTCCTAATATTTTGGCTTTAGACTCTCCTTTAGTTAGTTATTAAGCCTACCAAAAATAAGGCAAATCGGAGAGGGTCACCGGAAGAAGTGGTCCGTCTTAGTTGATTTTGCTCATTACCCTTAACTTCTAAGATCTTTTCAAAAGGGCAGGGTATTTTTTATGTCTCGAATTTGTGTAGATATACTTTTGCAAGTCCGTACCCTTAACCTTTAGCGAACATTGTCTTATGTTACGTTAAAAGCAGTGTTAGTTAAAAGTTAAGTTAAGTTAAGGATCCCTGATTCTGTCGTTAGTCGTCGCGCTGCGGCAGACCGTTCGCTTGCATCCTGGAGGCCTGGAGGCCTCGCGAACGACCTTGGCCCAGGCGGCCGACTCGGGACACGGGTTTCGTAACCGGTTCGTCTCCCTCGCATGCACTCGTGGTGAGGGGTGGAGGGGCGCGGGAGAGGACGGCGGCGGAACAAGTGTGCGGATTCGCTCTGCTCGCTCTGCTGGCCTCGGCCGGCCGGTGGGAAGCGCGGTTCAAGTGACACGCTTAAATCTCCTGCAGCTGCCCGTTTGTGGCGCTGGCCTGGAGGTCGGGGGGCCGGAAGGCTGGGGCGCCGGGGCGGCCTGGGGCTGGGGAGGCTTGCGGAGGTTTCAGTCTCCGGCCGGCCTGCGCCCAGACAGCTCCAGCGGCCCGGCACACTGTTAGCCTGAGGTTGGGCTTTTCACCTAGGAAGCTAAACCACCCCAAGGTATAATTTTTTTTCCCTTTGAGAGGTATAAAAGTCTATACCTTGTGGAGGCAAGAAATGGCCCTCTATTCCTTTAGGTATGCCAATCGGCTTCCCCCACCACTTCTCCCTCCCTGAACTCTCTATACGGATATGAATGCGCCTGCAGACCCCACAGTCCCGGGCTTGTTTGGGATGCCGGGGCGCACAGGCGTAGGGCGGCCCCGACGGACTCCTCGTTAGGGCAGTCCGCCATGCGTGTTTCGCGTGGAGGAAAAGCTCGCGACGCGGCCGCGGCACTGCCATTCAACAGGCGCGACGGCATGCTCGTTATAATTAGAATTTTGTCACATTCGTTGTTGATCCACGCGAAAACGACCCCTGATTGCACGGCCGTGTTACGCTCAGCCGCGTTATGCGACACACGGTGCCCAATCGAACGTGACGAAACATCCGCATTTTAACAAATGACGTCACATTCATTGGATGCGCTGGAGAGACTTGCTTTTCTCACGCCGAGGGGCTCGGGCGAAAGCACTCTGCAACTTGCTCTGCAAGCCTCTCGTCAGCGTTCTGTTAAAAGGGAAGTTTGGCGGGGCCTGGCCTCGGGCCCCGCGCCGTGTGCCTGTCGAGGGAGATGATCCTTTTGTCGCCGAGGGCCGGGCCGGGCCGGGCCGTGGCGCGGGCTAGCGGGCGGCCACGCGGCCGCTCTGCTCGCCCTGCTCGCGGCGCTCAGTGGGATTATGGCGCACGGCGGCTTGCTGCTAGCGCGCTGCCGAGGCCGCCCGTCGCTGGGCACTGCCCCGTTGTCGGAGAGAAAAGTCCTGCTGTCACAACAACAGCACCGCCAGTGAGTGGAGTCGACCGGCAACATTTTGTCGCTGCTGTATTTATTTTTCCCCGCGATCATCCCGACTCCGTCCCACGCAGCGCGCGGCCCTTCGGCCTTGGCAGCCGGGCGGCGTTTATCGAGAGGTCGCCTGCCTGCCGCCGGGCCGGGCCCGGCCGCTGAGTGCAAAGAGAGAAGCTTGTGATATTCATGCCGGCCCTCTCCCCGAGCTGACGCGTCTAAATCCCGGCCCGCGACCAGGGGCACCGCACGGCGCGCTGGCCCGCGAGGTGCGAGGGAGAGCGCGGCGACTCCGTCTCTCTCGGCCCCCCTTCCTCTGCGGGGCGGCGGGGCTGCGGCCCCATTCCCGC